GAGAAATTTTCAATTTGATTCTAAAGTCCAAATTGATCTAGGGAATTTTGTGGTGGTCAAAAGTTTCAGCATGAGGTATACCGGAAGGGTGATTGGAATTATGGGTAATTCTATTTTTCTATTTATACCGTCAACTCGTGAAAGGTATTCTTTCTTTTTCCTTCTGATTCCATTCGAATAGTTTGAAGAGACATATTGGCAAGTTAGTGTGATCTCCAACTAGTGAGAAGTTCGAAAATAATCTGAATTTTGAGAATCCATCCAAGGATTATTTTGGGCAGAGATTAGAACTTCACAACTGGGTAACAAGATATTGTGAATATCTTTGCAGCTAAGCTGGATATACCGGGAGAAACAGCCTAAGCAACACCGCCTTTTGTCAAAGAGATTTTGAATGAAGTCCTATATTTTATAGGGTAAGTTTTCTAAGGTTTTATTCATATTGAAAGCATTTGACAGCATTCTGAAACTTATTCGAGTGTTTTATTCACAGACTTCTTTTATTGGTTCATCTTTATTGTATTCATTGGAACATCTCTATTCCTTGGTGTTGAGATTCTGATCTGTGGTCACTCGTGGATGCAGTCATTGAAGTGTAGCAGGTTCCAGACATCTTGAGCTACAATTTTGGATCGTTTTGGTTGGGTTTCGTAGAGGACATAGTAATCCACGACCGACAGATTTGGAACGAATCTTCACACCACGTTTTGGAAATAAAAGATAAGTGATTTTATATCTTTTACCATCTTTGATTAATTGAAACATATTTCTCTTTAAAACAATTTATTTCTTCAACAAACCTATTTTTTTTTAGTTTAGTTTAATTTTAATTTTGAAAACGTAAAAGTTTTAATATTATAATTATAATTACGAGATTATCTTACTCCGTACTTAATTTTGGCTTTAGACTAAAAATTGAATATTTTGGTTATACATATTTTCACGATAATTGATAATTCAATCAACATAAAACAACCCCTAACCCCTATGATGAACCATTTTTGTAAATATTGTACATATTAGTGACCAAATATATTTTGACCCTCTGATTTCATTATCTTTGTTTGATTTGTGTGTGATTATCAAGGCTTAAAAATGAATTCCGTTTTGTGTTCCAATATTAGGTACGAAGAGTCTAAAAAATTAAAACTACGCGTAGTGGCCTGTCCACGGGAAAAACGTAGCAAACCCATGATGCGTCCGTCGATCAAATCGCGCGGGACTAGCTTGACTCTTCACTGGTAGTTCCATTGGCTAGTTCTCGAATTTCATTGGTTGAAAATAGTCAGGAAATTGGTTGTTAGCGATTTGGACCAATCAAAAACGCTATGACTGGTTTGTGATTTCTGTGGAAACAGACCTTTTATGATTAAATTCATAAAGTTTTTTTTTTTTTTTAAGAGAAAAGTCAAAATGTCATTATGTTGGCACTACATGTAAAATTGACAATGCTTTCAAATTTTTTATGTGGAAAAGGCTTATGTTTCCAACATGGTCACTAAATTTTTAACATGGGGAGTTATCTTTAAAAAAAAAAAAAACAGACTTTAGAAGAATATTGTAACGGCCGCCAGTGTGTCAAGAATTATCGCGTGCATTCTAGATCGTACATGAATGGATTTACGGCTATATAAAGCAAGCTGGTATTTAGAAGTTTTAAGTTTGAGTTTGACTGTGATGTGATACGATTTAATAAGTGATTATTGTTGCGAGTTGTGAAGAGTTTAATTGTTGACTTAGTTATTGAAGTAATTGGTGTCAGACTGTATTGTTACGTGGAATAAATTATTGCTGACTTTGATTTTGGAATAAACGAAACGAACCCAAGATTTTTGTCACGCACTCCAAAGCCGTGACAATGGTGTCAGAAGTTAAACATAAAGGACCGCAGAGTGAAATCCAATTGCAGAATACTGCGGGGACACTAGTGTGTGTGAACACTAAGTGAACACTGGGACAGTTAGTTAGTGCAAACAGTGACAATCACAAAAAGAGACTTAAGCCGAATTTTCGCGACGAACTAGGTACTTCCACGATTTCATGAACACAAACATTTTCGCGAGAAATTCATGACGTCATATTTAACTTAGTTCGCGCAGCATGGACACAGCTTCTAGCCAGCGTTCTATTGATGAACTACATTCGTCGCGAAAATTCAGTTTTTACCGATCGTGTAAATTACCCCGGAAGTGACTCTATACCCGATTTTGACTGTGAATCTTCGAGTGAGTTTTAGATGATACTAAGTATTTTGAACCCTACTTGTTTGGACAAAAATTCACGATACTATCAGACCATAAACCACTCGAATGGTTATTTTCCGTGAAAGACCCTGGCTCTAAGTTAGTCAGATGGAGACTCAAACTAGACGAATTTGATTATACAATCAAGTATAAAAAAAGAAAATTGAACATGAATGCTGAAGCATTATCTAGACCCCCTTTACAGATCAATGCTATCTCTCATAATATGTCAAGTTCACACACTGAATCAGACTCTGACGAAAAATTCCACAAAACCCTAGGAGCAATCCTAAAAGATACACCTTTAAACAACGACGAAATATTACGAAAATATTTCGAAGATACTTATCTTTTCATGCCCCAAAAACCGAAAGTACCTATCGGTAAATGCAAAGAAATAAGAATAGATGATGAACACGAAAACAAGTCACTTTCAGAATCTACTATTATCAGCTGATTCTCCTTGTAACTCACCTCGTGATTCACCTCATGAAATCATTGTACCACAAAAACCACCTCCAAAATTTAAAATTCTCTCTCAAATCATCTTACCACCAAGACAAGTTCAAGAAAATCTTCCACAAGATGCACGACTACGTCACTTGAAAATCCTATTTCACCAAGACAACCTCAGCGAAATTCTCCAGAAGACGCACAAACTATTCATACGTTACTAGAGAACCCTATTTTAGGAGCTCCCTATACCAAAAAACATAACAACCTCTTTCCTAATCAAGTAATTTTCAGGTATTCGAATAACAATACCATTCGAAAAGAGATAATCATACCTTTCCCAAACAAAAAGAGATTAACATTCTTCTTGCCAAACGACCCTTCAGACCTACAAATCATCACACTAATAAAACAATATATGTCACCTTATACATATTGTATGTATTTCTACAACAAAACTCTAGAGCCCATAGTCTTACGAGTTTTACAAACATCGTTTAATTCTAATTCTTTCAAACTGTTAATTTCCAACTCTTTCGTGGAGGACATTACAGACCCTGAAGAACAGAAAGAAAAGATTCAAATGTTTCATGAAACTAAAACTTCCCACCGTGGAATGACAGAAAACGTTTCATCTTTGAAAAAACGATACTACTGGCCCAACCTTGAAAAAGACGTTCAAGCATACATAAAAGCATGTGAGATATGCAACAAAACGAAGTACGAAAGGCAACCCTACAAAATAATTTTCAAGCCTACTCCTATTGGATCAAGACCCTTCGAACATCTCTCTATCGATACTTATACTGTTTCGAATGAAAAGTTCTTAACAATAATTGACAGCTTTTCAAAGTTCGCTCAAGCTCTTCCTATCACTAGTAAGACATCCGTTGAAATTTATAGCACAGCTATTAAAATATTCCAGTAATCACGGAATCCCCCAAAGAATCACGTCGGACAATGGAGCTGAATTCAAAAATGCAATGATGACCGATCTATGTACCCTACATAAGATTGAGTTTCATTACACGACTCCTCGAAACCCGAACTCTAACAGTCAAATTGAAAGGCTACATTCTTCCTTACGAGAAAGTATAACCAGCCTGAGATTACAAAATCCACGCAAAAGCATAAACGATCTCATGATTGTTGCTATTTTAAATTATAATAATAGCATACGCAGTGTCACAGGATACACCCCATTCCAAATAATCAAAGGAGATTTAAATTATGCGATTCCCATCGAACATTCACAAAACAAAATAACGACGGATTATATCAATAATAGAGAATTATGGCACCTTCAAATAGGGACGGCCACTAACAAAAACGTTCTTATTTTGACATTATTGACACCTACGCATGCGCATTTGTGACTAAAAATAGTGGCGGTCAGTAATAAAATAAGGATTATTTGTGATTGAATAGTGAAATGCAGTATTTGTTCCACTATTTTTCGAGACATGCGCAAATCTAAATCAAATCTCAGTTGCCAAAGAATTTTTCAGATTCTAACTTCACATACTAGATTTATATTTTTTGTTTGTATTTTGTGGATGGATAAAAGCGAAAAACGTCATTTGCATCCCCTAGAATGGTAGCTTCTAACATTTTTTCCATTATAATTCCGTATTTAGAAATTTATAAGGTCATAGGTTATGTTCAATTAAGTGAACAATGCGATACTGACGCGAAAAAATAGTGCCAATTTAACATGTTGTGCCATAATTCTTTTTATCCATAAGAAATAGTGACTGTCAGTAATTAAATAAGGCCGATCAGTAATAAAATCGATCACTATTAGGAAAGTGCCATAATTCTCTAATCTCGCTGACTGTTTAGAAACTCAAAATAACGTTATTTACGACAAACCGAGGGGCAACCAATCCCCGCAATACATGTACATTTTATTAAAATGTCTCCGAAATCACTAGGAAATCCTGCAGTTGCCAAAATAGCCCGAAATCGCGCATTCTTCTTCGCATTCGCAGAAATCACGTTCGCAGTCGCGGAAATCATGTTCGCGGTCGCGAAAATCATGTTCACAGTCGCGGAAATCTTGTGAACCCGGTCATGTGGGCGTGCCTAAATTTCTCGTCGCAGCCTCCGAAATCGTTCGAAATCAATGTGGCAATCGCGCAATCTTCTTGCAGTCCCAGAAATCTTTGGAAATCACGGTGGTAGGGGTAGCACTGGTAATATTTTGAAATGTTTGAGCGCCTTTGAGAAATTAAGAAAAACCGTTTTTTTAATCGACATTTTCTGTTTTATTAGGGTATATTTAGAGTTAAATAATTATTTTAGTGGTAAGTACAAAAATCGGTGCAATGTTCATATTTCCAAGAGAAGAAAATAAAAGACTAGGGACCAATCCACCTTGCCACAATAACCTTCCGATTGTTGAAGAGATTAAAATTATAATGGAAAATGCAAAACATGATGCGATAAACTGCGCTAAAGATTTAAATATGTTGCTTCCCGACGAGTTGATAAAATCGGCGTTGGAAACAATCTCTCTACCTCCAATAGGTGTTTAAACCAATTCAACAAATATTCCTGATGAAGAACTCGATTTAGAAACAGAAGGTGGAAGACCTTCAAAATATGGACACTGAAATAAACCACGAAGATCTGGTAGAAATTGGAGAAGATTGAACATATTTAATGATTTCGAGAGCTTGGAAATCAAGGACTATAATGATATGACATGATCTGATAATTTTCGACTTAGCATCACAGTAAACATCAAAAATATGATAGTTAAAAAATCTACTTTATGTTTTCTATTTTTTGACAAAAAGGGAAAACTCCCATCCGACAGACGAATACAGTGCCATAACAGTGCAGAGGAATGCAGGGAAGAGTATAAAGGTAAAACTAGGAAAAAATTGGTAAATAATAAGGATTTTGACACTTCTTCCTCTGAAGACGAGCCTGATAGAAGCTATGCAGATAGGTCTTCAAGTGGCTTAGAAGAACTTACAGAAGACGAAGAGTTACCAAGTTTCACAAGTTCAAAAGATTCAATTTCTGTCTTTGTTTGTGAAAACTACTATGCGGTTTATTAAGACACTTGGTATACTGGACGTGTTCTAGAAATTTTGGATCAAGAAACCTTTAAAATAAAATTTCTGAAGTCTGAACTTGATGAGTATGTTTAGCCCAGAAGATGATATACAAATCGTCGAAAAAAAAAATAATTTGTGGTTTTAAATAAAAGTTTAGCAGTTTTACTAGTTTCAATTTCAAGTATTTTTTTCAAAATCCCTTCCGCAGTCCTGCAATAATCATTTTTTCTACGAGCGTGCGGAAAAGTGCACTTTTCCGCACGCATTTTAGTTTGGAAAGTTTCACTTTTTGTGTTATTTATTAAATTATTTTGGTTTAAACTTAACTTTTCTTGTGAAGTTACTATAGAATGGTTACTTTATGCCTGAAAATTTCGAAAATTTCATAGTAGATACACGTACAAATTATTGTTAAAAGTTCTCGATTTTATTGTATTCAGAATAAGGCACATTATTTCAGAATTAGATTTTTTTTTTTTTAATCAATAAATAAATAAGATTTATTTCTAAGAGTAGGTACCTAATTTATAATAAGAAAAAATTACTCGATTTGTTTTTAATACGTGTTGCAGAAGAAATATCAAATATTGGTGTTAAAATTTACATTACAGGTATATTCCTTCTATCTCGTAGAAAAAATAGTGTTCCGAACTCGTGCGGAAAGTCTCTTTTCCTCACTTAATTGCTTGCCGAACGACGCGTAGCGGAGTTCGGCAAACTGCAAGCGCGTGCGGAAAAGTGGCACTTTCCGCACTTGTTAGGAAATATATTATTTACTACAGCCGTGCGGAAAAATCGATTTTCCGCACTGATATGCGTGCGGAAAATACCGCACGGTGCGGTAAAACTTTTTTTTTGACATATCAGTGCGGAATAGTTATTTACCTAACAAATGCAGAAAGTGATACTTTACCGCACGCAACGGCAGTCAAGCCGTTAAGGGCGGTAAAGGCACTTTCCGCATGTGTTAGGTACAACATTTTACCTATGAGCATCTACATCTCTGAAAAAAGGCATTGATAAAATTAATTATTGAATCAGATTAATTAATGAAATTAGATTAGATATAGAAACGATCAAAAATCCATTTTCTGAAAAAGAGAGGATTTCTGATTAAAAATATTAAATTTTACTTTACCACACACTATGCGGTAAAGTGCACTTTACCGCACACTTTGTAGTCCACTTTACCGCATACTATGCTGTAAAGTTAACTTTACCGCACACTATGCTGTAAAGTTAACTTTACCGCACACTATGCGGTAAAGTGCACTTTACCGCATAGTGTGCGGTAAAGTGATACTTTCCATTTGCAAATACGTGCGGTAAAGTGCACTTTACCGCACGCTCGTAGGTAAAAAGTTTTTCCGGCGGTAAAGGCACTTTCCGAATGTGTTAGGTACAAAAAATTTTCTACGAGCGTGCGGAAAAGTACACTTTTGACAGATGTCAATTTTTAAATTATGAGCTGACACACTTACACAAATATCAGCATTGAGAATTATTGACACAATAACGTTATTTATTAATTTATTTTATGGATCACGACCGTTAATAATTGATATTTTTGTAAAAGAGCAATAAATCTATAATACTGACTGTTTCCCAGTTATTCGAAAAATATGTTATTTATTAAATTATTTTGGTTTAAACTCAACTTTTCTTGTGAAATTACTATAGAATGGTTACTTTATGCTTAAAAATTTCGAAAATTTCATAGTAGATACATCAAACGTACAAATTATTGTTAAAAGTTCTCGATTTTATTGTCTTCAGAATAAGGCACATTATTTCAGAATTAGTTTTTTTTTTTATTAATAAATAATAGTTATTTTTGTATCAAGGGCGCGAAATGCTACTTTGGTGATCGAGATCTGATTCTGTAGGAAAAAAATTGTACCTAACACTTGCGGAAAATATTTTTCCACACTTGTTAGGTAAATAGCTATTTCAGTCCCGCAATCTTGGAAATCATTGCGATTATTCCAGAAATCTTGGAAATCATTTCGATTTTCATGGCAATCTTTGAAATCCCCTAAATTATCATGGCAGCCCTGGAAATCTCAGTGATTGCCAAGAAATCATAGGATTTCCGCAATACGTGTACATTTTTAAAAGGAGTGGCTTGCCCCTCGCGACAAACTAATAACGAAACAAACGCAAAATTTGGAGAAGATCAATAAAAAACGCGAAACAGAACCCTAACTAGAACAACCTATTTTTATCAAACAATTCGATATGACGTCAATACTCAATTACGAACCTAAACAACCAAAACAATTTGTTTCAGACCAACCGAAATGTTCCTGGCAACATTGTAACCCCTTTTGTTAATAAACTAATTAGGGGTTCATAATCTTTTTTTTTTTTACGGATATGCGCACTCGCAAGGAAATGTCCTATCACGCTCGAGAAGCGGCAAGTGCGCGGAAATGTCGGTGTATGTTGGTCTTGAAACGGTTCAGGTTGTAACCTGCAGGGAAAACCGTCGCAGAGAGTTTATTCCACAGCGATGCTGTTCTCCAGAGATATGAATTCTGATATAATGAGGTTCTTGGTGCCTCTAGTTTGACAGTAAATTCATGGTTACCGTCTGTTTGACGGGTTGGCCTGGTAGGTGCTACTCTCGATGGAATCATACGTGCCAACTCTTCAGAGCATTTTCCGTGATAGTACCTGTAGAAGAGAGATAAATCGCCCACAGATCTGCGATGTTCGAGACCATCCAAGTTACGAGTAAGTGCGGGGTCATTGATCAGCTTGATAGCTCGTTTTTGCACGGTATTCAAAAGCATTAAGGTATGTTTGGGTGCTGCACTCCATATATGTGAGCAGTACTCCATAGTTGGTCGAATCTGGGCTTTGTAGAGTGTCAGCAATTGGCTTGGTGTGTATAGATGTCTTGTACGAAATAGCATCCCCAGCTTTTGGGAGGCCCTTTTAGCAATATCTGCCACGTGACTGTGCCAAGACATGTTGGTCTCTGCAGTAACCCCCAAGATGTTCAACTGACTCTGTAATGTGACAGCACTTCCAGATAGCATGATGTTTGGCTCACCGGTGCTGGTCTTTTTTGAAAACAGAGCTGCTTGGGTTTTCTGCGCGTTGAACTGTACAAGGTTTTTCTTACCCCAGTCCTCTATTATCTCCAGGTCGTTATTTATCTGCGATATTTGAGTTAGTCTAAGATGATGGAATTCACGTGCGGAAAGACCTGTGGGTGGTATGAGTGAGGAGACTACATTGCCATCGTCTGCAAAGCAATAAAGTGGATTTACTGTTTTATCTATGAGGTCATTTATGTAAATCAGGAAAAGAGTTGGCGAAAGGATTGCTCCCTGTGGCACACCAGCATTTATTTGGTAAGAGTTGGAGTTCTGGCCATCCAGTGCAACATAAATGGATCTGTCGTTTAGGTAACTTTCAAACCAAGTGCAAAGTTTCGGCGATAATCCCATTGCTTTGAGCTTGTTGAGCAGATTTTCATGCCAAACTTTGTCGAATGCTTAAGATATATCTAAGGCAATTGTTCTTGTTTCACCCCGCAACTCAATCGCTTTTTGCCATAAGTGAGTGACGTATGTAAGTAAATCGCCAGTTGACCTATATTTTCGAAATCCGTATTGCTTATCGTTGATAATTTTGTACTTTTCCAAGTACTTGGTTAGGTGATTGTTCACAACTCTTTCCATTACTTTTGATATCACCGGAAGTAGAGCAATTGGTCTATAGTTTAACGGATCTGTCTTTTTTCCTTTCTTTGGAATGGGTTGTACTGCGGCAGACTTCCATGATGATGGATATACTCCTTGCCTGTAAGACAAATTGAATAATTTTGCGAAAGTTGGGGTGAGTTCGTTGGCGCAATTTTTGAGTACCTACTATTGCGGGAATGCCATCCGGGCCCATTGCTTTGTCTGTATCCAGCTTTTTTAGGGATTTTCGTATTTCTCTGTGACAAAAGGGTACCTCTGGCATACTATGGGAAACCTTTTCAATGAACGGTGGAGTTTTTCCGTTTGGCACTGTTAGGTTGGAGTTGGAGGAAAACATTTGGGCAAGCATATTGGCTTTTTCCTCTGATGTTGTGGCTAAGTGATTATTTTTATCTGTGTGGTATGGATGACTTGGTGAAGTTAGATCCAACAGCTTTTGCAAGAGACCAAAAAGACCTAGAACTACTTGGACAATTCAGCAACCTGTTTTTTATTCTTTGATTGTATGTTTCTTTAGCGGAGTCAATAGTAATTTTGCAACTATTTCTGGCTTCTATAAATTCTGTGTGGTTTTGAGCGGTTTGTTGTCGTTTCCAAAGGTTATATGCTCTGTGTTTTTTCTGTACAGCCGTTTGACACTGGCTGTTGAACCAAGGTTTTGCATTAGCTCTACGTTTAGTTGTATGTGGGATATATGCGTCCATTCCAGATAAGATTACTTGTGTTATTTCATTACAGCAAATAGTGGGATCA